CCAACCTTATTGAGCAACTTAACTTCCCGATGCGTCACTAGTCAGAGCAAACACTTTTCCAGCAGTTCCACAACAGCCTCGCAGCCAAAAATGAACCAAACCTTTCGAATCATCAACACGGGGTATCATTGTGAAGCTAATAATATGGAATAAGCCGGTGGTTTGATAGATTACACAAAACCGAATGCACCCACCCTATCCCTCCCAACGTGGATGAAGAAAGTCAGTTCGTCTTCGCACGTCCAACACCGTGGGAATGTTACGAGCATTCCCTCCCTTATCAAGAAAGACGGACAAATCATATTATTCTGAAATGCAGTTGTAAGAGTGGTTGACATACTTTATTTTTTAAAAAGCCACGTCACAATGAAACTGATTGATTAAATCTTTCAAATGTTTGAAAAGTACGTCCAAAATTGTGGAACCGTCCACGTGTGGACACGTGCGCGTGTGTGCGTGGCGAACGGCCACGAACTGCCACGCGTACACACAAATGCGTGTGTGCGTGTGCAGAAGGAATCTCGCAGCGCTTTGACGAGTAACAGTAAAAGCCGAGATGCCGCACGAGTTTTACGGAGGAGCCCAGACCCATTGGCAAGTTTTGGCAAACGTCACGAGAGACGGCGACGATTCGCGCGTCTTGGGAGATAGGCCTCAAGGAAAACGCAGCGGTGCCGACGACTTTCCGAGCCCAAGCTGAGCGGGGCAGAAAATGCTGGCAAAGTTTTATTACTTTTGCATATTTAACTTGGAAGCCGCCTTTTAGTTGGCTTTTCAATGCGTGCATCCGTACATTTGTTTTTTTTATTGCTCTTTATTTTGTTTATTAAAAGGATTTAAGCAAGTTGTTTTCAACCCTTTGGACTTTCGGGGGTGGGGGTAGTGGGAGGGGTGAAGGTTGAAAGGGGGATGGAGGCTGCAGCATGGACACCGTGCAGGAGAAAACGGACGTGCGCGAGTAATGCCAGCACCATGCAGTGGCAAAAAAAAGAACACGAATACGCAACATAAAACAAACGCTTCCTTAGCACCGTGCTGACTAGAGACGTGGACATGTGATCTCGCTGTGCATTGTCGTCTGAGTTACCTGGGGGAGGAGATGAGGTGAGGGGGACGGAAGGGAGGGTGGTGGAGTTGAAAGGGGGCGATACAAGTGGCCTCATTTATATAAACTATAATAAACTACAAACTATTTTTTTTATTTTACCAGGTAAGGCCCACTGTGATTTATGGCTCTTTTGCTAAAGCGTCCTGGCTATCACAAATGATAGCTCAATGACGTGGCTTATCACCACATGGAAATGTATAGCAGCTGAATACTCAAAACGCGTGACGTTGATTCGACCACGGCAAGAACATATTCAAGTGCATCCCTTTTCATTTCAAACTAAACGTTGTTTCGTAGAACAACAAGTTCGCACTCTCGCACCCTTAGGCATCGTGAAAACGAGCACCAGAATGAGTAACAACACGAGTAAAATACAAGTTGCACAGATAAATACCAGAGAAATTAAACGGCCGTCACATGTGTGCCCATCACAGAGCAGAGGATCAAGAGCAAACGCATTTTTCCCACCTTTGTCCTGTCTGCCAGAAAAACAACAGAGTTCAAAGCGTGAAAAATAAGGTCGTAAAAAACCTCGATATCAGACTTCACCCAACACCATCTTTGCAGCAGATGCAGCGTGTAGGAACACGTGCGCGTTTTAAGCCGGCCACAGAGATATTTACACCCCAACCTATGGGCGGTGGCAGCGGTGAGGTCTGGGCTATTCCAGCACGGCAGGGACAAAGACAAACAACACAGTGCAGTAACCTCTAGCAGGCCTCTTGGGTAAGTGCTGTTTGCGAGCACCTATTAAAGGCAGCGTGGTGCACGAGGCGATGGCGTGGTCGACACCCCACGCCGGGTCATCTCTGTCTTCTCCCCCAGTACTCGTGTTTTTAAGCGCTTCACCAGGAACTCCTTGAAGGCTGAGTCTACCTAGGCTAGGCCCAGGACCAGCACAGCTCTCAGCCACCGATGTTAGTTCTATCTAGGAAAGGAACTCAGGTCACCGGGTTTGTTATCAGAGTGCGCTAACCACTACGCCACCGCTCCCCATGCGCACACAAAGATAAAAGATCCCCCGTATAGCCTTAACAGACTGTAGGGGCAAGTGCTGTTAGCGAGCACCTATGAAGGCCGGAACGGTACACGAGGGGGTGGGTGGCCAGCACCACGCCCGGCCGCCTTTGTCTCCCCAGTGGCGATGTTTACACACCGCACCAGGCACTCATTTGAGGGCGAGTCGACCTAGGAGAGCCCCATGACCGGTTCAGATAATCGTCACAGGTGTTGGCCGTGAGCGGGAATCGAACCCAGGTCGCCGGGTTCATAGCGCAGCGCGCTAACCGCACACACACACACAGCCACACACAAATGTTGGTGTTCAATGTTTGAGCGTCAGTTAAGTTTCGATGAACATCAGATTTCCGGCTCTGTTGACAATGTGTTTGGCGTTACGGTGATGCACGCTTGTAAGCCAGCCACTGTAAGAGGAGGGGGGGTTGGCGAATCTTGAAGAGATAGAGCTGTTGTGTCTGAAAGGCCCATCCTGCAGCAGCTACAACTCACCTGTACGAAGCAGGATAGCAAGTAGGTTGTCCCAGCATCTCAGAGTGCCTTACATGAGCCACGACCGTTACATTGCCGAGGGCTTTCCATGAAGCCACCGCTATCTCGTCTCAATCATTGTAATGCTTGGCTGTCGTTTTTTTATTTTACACTTTTTGTATTTGTGTTAGCCGAGGGGACTCCCTGACGACAGCTGTCCCTGCGCAGACACGTTGTCGTACGAGACGACGCCGATAGGACATCCGGCATATAGCTGGCTGAGAATCGGGCAGCCCAGGGTTTGAACCGAGATCTCCGTGGTGCTCGCTCGATGCTCTAAAGTGGCATAACATTTGCATAACATCGAGACAGCCGACCTCGTACAAATTATGTTTACGTCTCTGTCGTTATGATGTAAAACGTCATAAAAAATGGTATTTAAAATAATTTAACGTGTTTAATATCTGGAAATGTTAAACGATGCACCTGCAGAAAATAAAGTTTATTTAACTGGTCTGGAAAATAAACGTTGGTGTTGCAGGGTTACGAGAGATTCACGCTTCACTCGCAATACTTTTACGATTGTTTGCAGCAACATTATATAAATCAACAAAGCAACTCTATCTATGCTTACCCAATGCACATCGGTTAATTATAACGAACCGACAGACGTTCATAACTTACAACCCTTCGTTGATCCACTGCTGGATGAAGCTGTCCCCACGCTGTGTCATTCATTTTGTTTCCTTGGGGAGGTCTTCAACCAGCAGCGGACTGATTGTGGCATATGATGACGATGGAAGTGCGGTGAGTGGAGGTGTCGTTAGGATGTGGAATGCTCTCGCAACCACATATCTTGTTTGATTCTCAAGTGAATCATACACCTTGTCATTTTCACTTGCTCGCGTGGAAAGGACGCTTTAGCGGATTTAGAATTACAGGGGTTTTTTTTGCTTTCAATATGTGTCGCTGATTTCATGAAAGCAATTTGGAAAATCAATAGGGATGGGTAAAAAATTAATGTTTGTCCAGAAAAACGAATTCTACTCACGAACAGGATAAAACAAATCTAGATGTAATATTGCGTTAAACAATGTGTTTAGTAAGTACTGAGAATGATTTTTACGTCAAAATAAGATATACTTTAAAGATTCTGTCCGTTCGTAGACAGTTAATATTAGGAAGTTACTGTAAAAAACGTGCAATTCACAGCACACGAGGCCAGTAGTGGCTATTACAACAAAAGAATTCCATTTTAGGAAATGGTAAATCACTCAACTTACACAATACCGTTTGAATACGAATAAGCCGATGGTGCACCACTGGCTTACTCGTTGAAATATCCATTATTATTTTTTTTATGTGTTTGAAATTTAAGAGTAAAATGGCACAAGGTGGCCTGGCGGCTCAGAGATCAGAGAGCTGAGCTGGTACCACTGACACCCTGAGTTTCGATTTAAAGCTTTCGTGACTGCAGGGATTCATATTCTTGGGTCTTTCGGTAAAGTCACGTAGAAGGGACTTTACCGAAAGAACCAAGAATATGAATCCTGAGTTTCATTAAGCCAGGTTCTCGAGTGTAGCGAGTTGGTCTTGGCCCGGCCACCAATGAACAATACAAAAAACATGACAATACATTTGGTTCTGCACTTAACTTGGGTAATTTCCAGCTCTGAGAATTAAAAATATCACGTTTGACTTGGTGGGGTGGGTGGGACAGTGCCGCCCTCGACTGTGTGGACCAGAGGTCACTTCAAGGGATCTCAGCGGTAGTTCTGTGAAGTCTACTTCAGTGGTTCGTTCTCTAACACAGGAGGGATGCACGGCTCTGCGAGAAATGTGAATGGATTATCTGTCTCATGACAGATAATCCATTCAAAAGAGGTCAAGTTAACTGTAAATAAGGATATTCCCGAACATGAGTTTAACTTTCGTAACGGTTTTCAACATTCTGTTGTGATACGTTCCAAGCCGCAAAAGGAGATAGCATCTCACGAAACGTGACAAGTGACATCGTAAGTTGATATGATACATTATGATGTCATTAGGGGGGCTGGAGAGGTGTGTGTGTAACTCAGAAATCTGACATTACATGTAATGAAATCATCGCCATGGCCGCCAAAGGTAACGCTTATCCTTGTCGGCCATTTTTTCTATCACCAAGGTTTTGGGCAATCTTTCAATAAACTTGTTCGGTATTCTCGAGAGTAAGTCCCCAATAACACAACTTTACAAGAACATTGTTCACATTGGATCACCTTCCCCATTACGGAGAGTTGGTGATACGGACAGACGGCCAGAGCGGTCACATTAACGCTCTCAACCCTGAGCTGGAAAGTGTTCAACAGAATTGAATTGGCACCTGGGCGGGACCCTGCGTGCCCCCACTGGTCCCCAGCCTCACCTGTTGCTGGAGGTGCAGGAGGTCAGCCGCGCTAACTTCCCCTGACGACGGTTGCCCCTCTCCTCCGCCGCCCTCCGATTGGCCGCTCCGCCCGTTGGCTCGCGCCTGATTGGCCGCACTGTTGCCTAGCGACTCAGCACCCCCCGAGTCCTGCATCGCAAACCGCCGTCTGGAAGGCACACGCGGCCACCGGAGGGGTTAAGGGGCCGTCCATAAATGACGTCACGCGATTTTGGACGATTTTTGACCCCCTCGTCACACGGCGTCACAAAAAGTCAGACCCCCCCCCTCAAATATGACGTCACAAAGCTCTGCCCCCCCCAAAAATAAAACATGCTTCAAATCGCTTTAAACTATTGTCATTGTAGTGCGTATTTAATGTGGCGCTGCACTCTGATGTTGTAGGAGAAAACATTTATTACAAAGTCTATTTAATTAAGTAGAACGTGTTGTCTATATTTATTTAAAGTTGCGCATTTTGATGTGACGTCACATTTCTCAAACCCGCCCTCCCCATGTCACACATCGTCACAAATGTCTGACCCCCCCCCCCCACCCCCGTAGGTGTGTGACGTCATTTATGGATGGCCCCTGAATAGGTGCTCGCTAACAACAGTAGCCCGTGGCGATCTGTCATATCTGGGGGACACTGTCTTCACTCAGGGTGGTACACACACTGCTTGCTGCTCCACCTCAACACAAGTGGAATATTCTCCACAACGCACCCCAAACCTGTGCCCGGTGTCAAAAAAGTTACACACGCACACACACAAACCCTGACCGGACTAGAAGATGCACCCCTAACTACCGAGTTGATATACACAGTGGGGGGGGGGGGGGGGAAGATGTGAATCTTACAATCCATAGAATAGGGAAAATAATGCTCTTACTGCCACACAGCAGTGCAAGTCCCTCAGCAGTTGTCAATTCCCATTCTTTGGCAACTCGTGCGTGCTTTTTCTTCCTCGCGCAACACTCGGATGAAGCTGAATGGAACGTAAAAAAACGCACGCACGCACACAGTATACACCAATGTCTTTATTTATAGCGAAGGTGACACCCCTTGGCCAAATCCGATCAATCAAGCCCCTGAACTTCGCCGCCGAGTGAAAGCCTCACTGAGATTCGTTTGTTCCTGTCCAGAGGGGGGGGGGGGGGGTGCTTTTTAAGGTGACGTTTCGCGAAGGGGGAGAGACTGGCTTTTACGTTTTTTAGCTGAAAGACACCCAGAGACATCGCCTCGATGACAGCCGAGAGAAAAACCCAAGAAAGAATGAGTGATAGTGCATCATCGTCAAAGTGCATTAAAAACACACACACACCGAGCGCGCTCCACACACGGTAAAGGCGAAGCCCTGCAATAGCTTGCTCACACTACTACTGGGGGAAGGGCATCCACCAAAGCTCTATGAGAGCCCCCCCCCCCCCCCCCCACCCGGCTGGAGGAATTTTGGCCTACTCTTCCACGCTGGCCAGACGTCTTGGAAGAGGTGGGGAGCCAGCGACACTTTAGCCCAGCGCACACGACCTGCCCATCGACCAGCCTGTGGTTCATCTTCTTGGTTCTTTCGGTAAAGTCACGTAGAAGGGAAGTAATAAAATAATAAAAATAAAACTTCATAAAATAATTCTCACGACCTTTCGGCCACAACGCAAGCAGCCGTCCTCAGGTGTCGAAAAGACAGCGTCTGAAATTCAGACGCTGTCTTTCCGACAGATAATTATTTTATAATGTTATTTTTATTATTTTATTATTTCCCTTCTACGTGACTTTACCTAAAGAACCAAGAAGATGAATCCCTGCAGTCACAAAAGCGTTACATCGAAATTCTTTCGGTAAAGTCACGTAGATTTAAAAAAAAGGTATTTTATTTATTTTTAAATTTCATTTACTTTTATTTTTATTTTCTATCTACGTGACTTTACCGAAAGAACCAAGAAGATGAATCCCTGCAGTCACGAAAGCTTTAAATCGAAATCAGCCTGTGGTTGTAGCCCGTGCACACCGCTGCTGGGTGGGACAGAAAGAAGACTTTGACGAAACTTTGCCCGTTGTTTCAACTTTCGCTCCGGGCATCGAACCAGGAGTTGGAATCTAAGCGGCCGTGACCTGTGCAGTGTGCCAACCACGAAGAGAGTGCTCCCGCCAGCAGGACAGGCGAAAGACGAGGCCGCGTGAGGGGTGTTGAACGAGCTTGTGCCGGTCTCAGCACGGCGGTGAACCTGAGCTCTGAAGACCGAGGGCCGTTGTAAACAAGAGTAACACGAGGCGAGGCGTCCGATTGCTCTAAATTCGTGAGGGGTCACCGATTACCCATCGATTCTTACCGCCACCGTACAGGTGCGCGAGAATTGTTTACGATGGAAACAAACTACATTCTCATCTTGCATTTAAGGAAGCAAATAAAACTCTAGAAACGAGGCTACAAAAAATGTTTTTTTTAAATATGGGGGGGGGAGGGTGGGGGTGCTTAGCCTCTCCCCCCAACCCCCCCGCTCACTTTCCCACTTTCCGTTACGGGGTTGTCGAGCCAGCGAGCGAGCGGACCGAAGTTCCAACCATCCCCTGCCGTCACGTCCCCTCCTCGCGCCAGCTCTGCCCTGCCCGCACCAACCCAGCCCTACCCGCAGCACCCACCACGAGGCAGCCTACACGTGCGCGTCCCCCCACCACCCCACCCACACCGCGCAGCTGCACGGCGTTGGCTCACGACGTGGTCGCGGCCACAACGCGGCTGATGTCATCATCCGTCAGCCACCGCCACTGCGGCGCAAGCTCCCGGGGCTTCCCTCTCCCCGTGCCCCGCAGTGCCCGTGGGCCTGCGCGACCCTGCAGGGGCATGCGTCGGTGGGGACATCGCTCGAGTAAAGCCCGTTTATGCACAACGGTGCATTTCAAGGACACGAAGCACAACAAATGCATGGCGTTTCGGCACATGGCCAGCATCTGCCATACGCTAATGTAATATGACCTTTTTATGCCAAGGAGACAAAATAACACACATCTCTCTCACACAGCATCTGAATAAATAGAGCAGAGTCAAACAAATTAAGTCACGATCCGTATAATGTCACAACCGCACCTCTGGACACACGGAAGTGTACAACACAAAGAACAATATCGCTCGCGTGCAATAAACAAGTTTACGTTTATTCGTGGGATACTGCCATGGTGCAACGGTGAACCAATTCGACAATCCAGAGGTCGCCGGTTCTAAACGATCTCCTGGTGTGGGCAAGCTTCTTAAATTCCCTTCTCCGCCTTCTGTCCACCCCAGGCAGTGTGAATGATTTTTGTGTCCAGTTTGCTGTCCTTTCCCCGCACCTCCGATAAGCACGGTTGGCTGTGTACGGTGCGAAAGAAGTTCAACACGCACATATACGTACGTACAAGTTCAACACAGCGTACGTACGTACAGCAGAGCGCGTCGATCAGCAAGATACGCTGCGCGGTGGGATAAAGTGTGGGTACTCCCTCCTCTGCTACGAAGATTGGCCAGCGTGGAAGAGTCGGCCAAAAATGACCTCCTATAGGCGGTGGGGGGGGGGGGCCTCTGTATAGATCCCCTCTAGCGTAGAGGCCCCTTCCGCCAGCGGTGGCGTGAGCCAGCAGTTGCAGGACCCGCGCCTTCACCGCCGACCTCGAAGGAGACATTTCGTCACGGCGAGGCGCTGACCCGTGTGAACCGTTGATATCTCCCCCCCTTCGTGAAATTCATCGGTTACCACCTTCGTGAAGAGGAGGAACCTCTAGGGCAAGGGGAGCCTTGCGCGGGGCCGGGCTTGGTGCAAACGAAACGCTGTCAACACGCAGCGTTCTGATGGGGATGTGGGCGATGGGGGGGGGGTGGTGGTGGTGGTGAGGTGGAGGGGGTGGGGGGGTGGTGCATGCGGGAGCCCAGGGAGCCGTGCGGGCGGTCGGGGCGGGAGCGCGGCGCTGCCCCTCTCGTTTCGGAGCCTCAAGCTCATTTGACTCGAGGGTTGTTCTCTCCGGCCTAAAGAGGAAATTCGACACTGCCGAGAGGGTGTATGCGAGGACACACGCGCGCGCCTCACGTTTTAAAATAATAATAAAGTTGAAGCGCGGTCACTCGCTGCACATTTTCAGACTTTGGAGACGTTGAAGAGTTTTGCTGCCGATCCACGGACCATCTGGTGCGAGGTTGGGGGGGAGCAGCTAGCGGCTGTGAACTAACGAACGCCGCCGCCGTCGCTTCGGCCAGGCTCGGCGAGCGGCTTCCTGGGGGTTCGCGCGCCAGGCGCTGTCCGTCCTGGGCCCGCCCGTCGCCAAGTCGCCGAGTCGTCAATAACCCGAGAGCACAAATCGCACCCCCCCCCCCCCCCCGTGCTGCGTCGAGTCTCGGGAGGCCGCCGTGAGATGGTGGGATTGGGGGGGTGGGAAGCGTCGGCGTCGAGGTTGCGATGACATGCGGTGCTTTTTGTTGTTGTTGTTCTGACAGACAAAGGCGACGCGGACGCAGACTAAGCTTGCGCCAAAAAAAATATGCCACCGCTCAAACAACAAAAACTCGTCTTCCGCTGACATCAGCCTTGGAGAAGTGATAACATCATCGTCGTCGTCATCCTCGTCGCACGCCGGCGTGTAAAGTTCCGCAAGTGCAGAAAAACTAAACGAGAAACGGTGTCACTTCTTTGCGAGCTACTCGTGGCCAAACTTCCGGAGCAAAGTCTGTCGACTGAACGTACTTTTACATTTTGAAAGCGAAAGCACGGGGGCAGCCACGTGGCCAGGAGATGTCAGCGCCAAGTGTCGCCCTCTGGTACGGCATCGTGGGTTTTTTCTCCTGGTAACTGCGGTTTCTTTCCGCATGAAAGGCAACTCCTTCTTGGCAACCGGACAAACTTCCCGATGTCGCAGCACCCTCCTGAATAAGAGACTCGAGACACGGCCGAGGCTTTCCTGGGCAATCGTTGGCAACTGAGTCTCGAGACTCATTACAAGGATGGCCTTCCTTGGAATTTCTGGCCACATCACACACGATGTACATGCGAGTGCTCACCTCGGTGGCATTGAATGGACGATAACGGGTGAAAAAAACCCAAGCATCTCACTGGGTTCCAATTGATGAGATGCATTGCCCATGACCATATCACCTGCAATGTCACAGATATTCCCATAACTCAGCCTTGACAGTGCTCTTATGGGTG